TGGTGCCACATCAGCAAATGGAGGTCTCGAAAGCTTTACCTTATCCATATGAGTAAGGCTGGGTTTACTCAGATGTTTCAGCTCTTTCCCAGTCCTATTTTGAGAGCCTTCTAACCTAACCAGACTATTAATAAAGTTGCGCAGTAATGTATCAGACAGTGTTTCTTTGCTATTCATAAGGTTTTCCCTGGCCTTCATGGATAGGTAGACTGAATATTGTGAAAATGTCAATTCTACTGAAAGCAATCTACACATTTAATGCAATCCCCATCCAGATAGTTATCAACAAAATTTTTAAGGCCATGGAAAAACCCATCACTAACTTCATATGGAAAGGAAAGAGACCTCAGATAAGCAGAGCCCTTCTGAAAGTGGGAGGTCTCAAATTCCAGGATCTTAAAACCTACTATACAGCTACAGTAGTCAAAACAGCATGGTATTGGTAGTGATAGACAGACAATGGAAATCGAAAGTCCAGAAACAGACCCATCCATCTATGAACAGCTGATCTTTGACAAAGGTCCAAAACCCATTAAATGGGGGAAGAGACAGCCTCTTTAACAAATGGTGCTGGCAAAACTGGGTATACACTTGCAGAGAAACAAAACAAGACCCATACCTCACCCCATACACAAAAACAAATTCAAGCTGGATCAAAGACTTAAATGTAAAACCCAAAAGTATAAAATTCATGAAAGATAAAATAGGGGCAAATCTAGGAGCCTTAATTTATGTGAATCATCTCACAACATGTACAAGCCTGGAGGACATTATGCTGAGTGAAGTAAGTCAGTGGCAGAAGGACAAACACTGTATGAGCCCTGTAAAAAGACAAAGAAGGGTTTGCTTAAGAAAGGGAATTCACTTTGCAGATTACCAGGTTGAGGAGGAAAGAGGAGGGATTAATTTCGGGCTAGTTGGGCGCCACACGCTAACGTGGGTAAGGGGAGGGATGGTATAGAAAGAGTCTGTGACCACCATGATAACATCAGGAAAAGGAAGGACACTAAATTGTGCACATAAGATACAGATGACAGATGCTAACACCAACCAGTGTATCAACAATACTGCATTCCTATTAACACCAAACACCAGGTTACAGATAAACATATAAACACCTAAGAGGATCAGATGGGGTCAGTGAACAGGAATGTACTCTAGACCAAGGACAGATTCATCGGAGCCTAATCTTGCACAGATACCAGTGATACAAATACCCGTAATCCTTACAGAAACAACAGAACACAGACAAAGAGTAATCCCTCACAGACAGTCAGACACTGTGGGAGAGAGATCCAATGGATCTACCAATTCAGGACCATAGTACCAGGAGACACCAGACTCAACTGGCACAACAAAATACATAAAAGTCTTGTTCCGCATCCTATATTGGTGAGTAGCCACTGGAGTCTTAAAAACTTTCAAGCAGCCATCTAAGATGCACCTAATGGTCTCCTATCACTGGAAGCAAAGAAGAGTGCGAAAAAACAAGGACATTTGGAAGCAATCAGCCCTAGGACACGATGGCCCTCGAGACCAGAAGAACTAGATGATGCCTAGCTACCAATGCCAACCACTCAGGAAAGGATCAAATCTGGAAATCCTGGATAGAGTGGGAGGAAAAACATGGAACTAAATCCAAACACTCAATAATGACAGAATTACTGGTTAGATGGAGTCTGGTGAGACCTCCCAATACCATGGCCCTGGCATACATTCTGGGCCTGGAATAAAACTCACTCCCAGGGGCTGGCTCTCAGCCCAATAGTAAACAAGATGTACACACAGACCACTCAACCCAGGGTGATGCACCCACATACTCTATGGAAATGCATCCCTTGGAACAGTCAACCACGGGGCACCAGAGGGGCAACATTTCCACGGAGGAAATGCAGGACAAACAGAAGTGCATAACTATGAGGGGCATGGGGGATGGGAGGTGTGTGTGGGAAGATTACTGGGCAGGGAGGGGAGCAGACTGGGTTATGGTTGGGGATGGTAAATGGGGAGTGAAACTAAATGTACAAGTAATGTTGAACGTAAAACAAACTGCTCTGTAAACTTGCATCTAAAGCACAATAATTAAAAAAAATTATGATCATGAAATGTTATAAACAAGATTATTTTAATTTTATGAATTTATAATGGCAACATTCTATTAGACCTACTATTCACTGGATCTTCATATAAAATTTCCCTCTTCTCCACCTACCATCCCCAAAATATGAAAGGAATGATACATTTTCTCCAATTTCATTAATGCATACAATTGTGCTATCTGTCAACACAGCTCAATTCAAAAACATGCATTTTTTTCCCCCAGTAAATATTACTGTAATAACCTGGCTAAAACAAAAATAAAAAAATTAAGCTCTGTTTAATTCCTTATTTTAAGACTGTAGAGTCTGACCACATAGGAACTATTGTAAGAGACAGTTTTACTATTACTTCTTATTGTGAAATCTTAAGCAATTTTTTTAAAAAATAAAAAGAGTATCATTTCCTAAAAAGAATCTTACTGGCTCTAAAATAGAATTACTTAAAAGATATTTAAACACAGGAAGTCTTGTGGACATCATCTTTAAAATCTATCCACAATTAGACCATTTCTCTCCAACTGCACTGCTGCACTTGATCTTAGTTGGTATCACCTCCCCTTGGATTGCAAACTGTCTCCTAAGTAACTGTTTAATGAAGACTGCTATGAATACCCTATAAAATGCTCATGTTATGCCTAATACCCTGTTCTACATTTTCATAGCCTTATCACCATCTACCATACTATAAAATTTACTTGTATTTATTTTTTTATCTACTAACAAAAATAGTTGTAGTGGCTGAGGCACTTGACTGCTAACCAGAAGGCTGGTGGTTCAAACCCACCAGCCACTCCTCGGAAGGAAGATGGGGTAATCTACTTCTGTAGTGATACTGCCTTGGAAACCCAAGGAGGGGTCGCTGACTCGATGGCACATTAACAACAACAACAACAACAAAAATACAGGCACCACAAGGGCAGCTTATCTTTGTTTTCTTCTCTAATGTACCCTAAGCACCCAGAATGGTACCTGGGGTACATGATACATAACCAGTATTTATAGAATAAATGAAAAAATAAGTTTTAGTTTATGAAACAAACACGAAAAACCAGGTCTTGTAGTAAGCAGTCAATTAATTTTTAGAAGTGTTAATTATGACAAAAACGCATATAACATGCTCTTTTTTTTTTTTTCCCCCTGAATTTCAGCTATATTATTTATTTGCCAGCAATCCAGACTGCAGTACTTTATTTTATTTTGATTTGGGTGAAGATTTACAGAGCACATTCACTTTCCATACAGCAGTTCACATATACTTTGTCTCATGTCACTGACCACAGTTTACCACAAAGCAACAGCTCCCCTCCCACTTCCTCCCCATAGTTACCTCTTCCCAGTGTCCATCCCTCCATGCTCTCCTGCCCCCTGAGCTGTCTATAACATGCTCTTATAACAGGGCTTACCATACCAGATAAAATAAGCAGTTCAATGATTTCTGCATCTCCAAGATAGGCAGCAGCATGCAATGGAGTTCTCTTTTCATTGTCCTGTGATAACAAGGAAAGGTGGAAGGTAAGTTTTAAAATAAGGTTATTTTAATGCAGTTTAAAGGAAGAAAAAATAGTTAGCCACCAACTTGTTACTTCTACAACTGTAGTCTGCAAGTCTCATAAATAAAACAGAGAGTAAAATTCTTTGGGAAAAAAAAGGGGGAGGTGGGGGTGGGGGGTGGACAGAGGCTTTAAAACAGTGGTATAAATTCCAGCAAAGAATAAAAATTAAAATGGTGAAGAAACAGCTTCTTAGAGTATCTCAGAAAGCAGATGCTTGTGATGCTGATAAACATAGGCAAATTTCTTTTACCTCATACTACTCATTTTTTTGCCAATATACTTTCAAAGTTTTATAGAGTTTAGAACCGTAAACCTATTAAATGAAACAAGCTTTAACAAACCAAAAGATTTGCTTATCTAACGTTTCCAACGGAGTACATCTAGTGGCAAAAAGAAAGTATTTCTGGGACTTTCAAAGTATTCCTTAAAGCAGTCTTAAGATTTTTCCAAAGTTCCTACCAACTTTGCTTTCAGTTCCATAATGGATTCATCTCTGTTGTAATATTAAAAATACATATTCCTCCAGGGAGAAATACTGCATTTAATGCAGGGCTTCAATGCCTCCTTTCTACAAACAACAGTATTCTCCACTTTGAAAAGCACAGTCTTAGGAGAGAGTCATATTCAAACTTACACCACATCTCAAGTTACAATTGATACTGTTGACTTCGCTGCATCTGAGAAAGCCATTCACTTAAAAATTCTTAATCTGAAATTTACATCCAATTTTGAATAAGATTTCAGCAGACTGTTAGTTGTTTTCCATGATCCCTTTATCCACAGGAATAAGTTTGAGCTGGTCATTTAGCCACCCAAGGAGAGAATATACTCCCAGACCCTCTTGCAGTTATGTTACTTAGTGTGGATCAGTGGTATGTGAGTGGAAGAACTGGCACAACTTCCAGGCCATCTTCAAGTTAAAGACAACCTGCCTATACAGCTGGACTACTACTTTTCCCTCTTCCCAGAGGCTGAAAGGTAGAGTGAAACTACCTTTAGAGCTAGCAGATTTAGAACAATATTCTAGAAGACTGTCATGCAACAAGACTGAATAATCTTACAGAGAATAATTACCCTACTAGCCTGGGCATTTATCTCCAAAGTACTAAAAGAAATACATGTATTTAAAATTGTTGGCTGCCATCAGGTTGTCCCCTGTGATCCACAGGGCTTTCACTGGCTCATTTTTCCGAAGTATATTGCAAAGCTTTTTTTCCTAGTCCCTGTTGGTCTGGAAACTCTTCTGAAACCTGTTCAGCATTATGGCAACACGCAAGCTTCCACTGACAGACAAGTGGGAGCTGCACCTAAGTGCACTGGCTCGTAATCAAATCTATGTCTGCACAGAAGGCAAGAACTCTACCACTGAAGCACCACTGCCCCCTCTTATTTAAGATGGAGTCTCCTGCCATATGAGAATACTACTAGAGTGTTTTGTTATTTTTTTTTCAAATTTAATGAAAATTTTACTTCATTTTATCATGATTTTCCCAGTTGGAGTCCCTCAAGTTTTCCAAGAAAGGACAGACCTTTCTAAGAAGAAATTGTGTATGTGTGTGTGTGTGTGTGTGTGTTGGGGGGGGCCGCTAGGCAAGCAATTCTACACCTACATATATACCCAAACAAATTGAAATCAGGGACTCCAATAGATAACGTGTACATCAATGTTCATAGCAGCGTTATTCACATGAGCCAAAAGGTAGAAACAACTAAGTGCCCATCAACAAATAAATGGATAATCAGTGTGGATTTTACAGACTGAACTGAACTATATCCTCCACCCCCCAAAGCATATATTGAATTTCTGGCCCTTCTACTTGTGAATGTGATTCTGTTTGGAAATAGGGTTTTCTTTTGTTTTATTAATGAGATTATCAGTGTAGGGTAGATCCTAAGAGCTCTGGTAGCATAATGCCTAAGGCACTTGACTGCTAACCAGAAGGCTGACAGTTCAAACCCACCAGCCACTCCTCGGAAGGAAGATGGGGCAATCTACTTCCGTGGTGATACCACCTTGGAAACCCAAGGAGGGGTCGCTATGAGTTGGGTCCGCTCGACGGCACATAACAACAACAGGTCACCATAACTGAAATCTGTGTCCATGGTCTCCACAGTATTCATCATCACTGTTTGTTTCCTTGGCACCACCG